GAGGTTTGTCCTGATAGTATTAGAATCTGCCGCACTGTCTGCCGTCTTAAATAGCGAACCCAGAATGAGACGCCTATGTGATTAAAACCAATTATTTGAACGCGATTAAAATGTCCGGTCTTTAATTATAATACAAACAACTTTTATTTGAACAATTTTTATAAAAAATTATTTTTTTTTATATTTTGTCAAATTTCTCGAATACGGACCATTTAAGGAAATTTTGACATAAGGCAAAAATTATAGATAACAATATTAGAAGTAACTTTTATTTGAACAATTTTCTTCTCCAAACATAAATAACAGATATATTCCATAAAATATAAAAACAGCCTCCCATAAAGTACCCCCCAGATGTTCCGACTTTGTCCAAAATCTAATCATTTCACGTCAGGCCGAAATAAACGTTAAGTTTAAAATTTAATGTTTTTTTCTTTATCCGTTTTTGAGTTTTCTTCAAAATTCGAAATTTACACATTTTCTCAAATATCTCGAATACGGTCCATTTCAGAGAAATTATGTATAGAATAAAAATTATAGAGAATTATAATACAAACAACTTTTATTTGAACAATTTTTATAAAAAATTATTTTTTTTACATTTTGTCAAATTTCTCGAATACGGACCATTTTAGGAAAATTTTGTATAGAACAAAAATTATGGATAATTATATTAGAAGTAACTTTTATTTGAAGAATTTTCTTCTCCAAACGTAAATAACAGATATATTCCATAAAATATAAAAACGGCCTCCCATAAAGTACCTCCCTAGATGTTCCGACTTTGTCCAAAATCTAATCATTTCACGTCAGGCCGAAATAAACGTTAAGTTTAAAATTTAATGTTTTTTTCTTTATCCGTTTTTGAGTTTTCTTTAAAATTCGAAATTTACACATTTTCTCAAATATCTCGAATACGGTCCATTTCAGAGAAATTATGTATAGAATAAAAATTATAGAGAATTATAATACAAACAACTTTTATTTGAACAATTTTTATAAAAAATTATTTTTTTTACATTTTGTCAAATTTCTCGAATACGGACCATTTTAGGAAAATTTTGTATAGAACAAAAATTATGGATAATTATATTAGAAGTAACTTTTATTTGAAGAATTTTCTTCTCCAAACGTAAATAACAGATATATTCCATAAAATATAAAAACAGCCTCCCATAAAGTATCCCCCAGATGTTCCGACTTTGTCCAAAATCTAATCATTTCACGTCAGTCCGAAATAAACGTTAAGTTTAAAATTTAATGTTTTTTTCTTTATCCGTTTTTGAGTTTTCTTCAAAATTCGAAATTTACACATTTTCTCAAATATCTCGAATACGGTCCATTTCAGAGAAATTATGTATAGAATAAAAATTATAGAGAATTATAATACAAACAACTTTTATTTGAACAATTTTTATGAAAAATTATTTTTTTTACGTTTTGTCAAATTTCTCGAATACGGACCATTTTAGGAAAATTTTGTATAGAATAAAAATTATGGATAATTATATTAGAAGTAACTTTTATTTGAAGAATTTTCTTCTCCAAACGTAAATAACAGATATATTCCATAAAATATAAAAACGGCCTCCCATAAAGTACCCCCTAGATGTTCCGACTTTGTCCAAAATCTAATCATTTCACGTCGGGCCGAAATAAACCCTAAGTTTAAAATTTAATGTTTTTTTCTTTATCCGTTTTTGAGTTTTCTTCAAAATTCGAAATTTACACATTTTCTCAAATATCTCGAATACGGTCCATTTCAGAGAAATTATGTATAGAATAAAAATTATAGAGAATTATAATACAAACAACTTTTATTTGAACAATTTTTATGAAAAATTATTTTTTTTACATTTTGTCAAATTTCTCGAATACGGAGCATTTTAGGAAAATTTTGTATATAACAAAAATTATGGATAATTATATTAGAAGTAACTTTTATTTGAAGAATTTTCTTCTCCAAACGTAAATAACAGATATATTCCATAAAATATAAAAACGGCCTCGCATAAAGTACCCCCCTAGATGTTCCGACTTTGTCAAAAATCTAATCATTTCACGTCAGGCCGAAATAAACCTTAACTTTAAAATTTAATGTTCTTTTCTTTATCCGTTTTTGAGTTTTCTTCAAAATTCGAAATTTACACATTTTCTCAAATATCTCGAATACGGTCCATTTCAGAGAAATTATGTATAGAATAAAAATTATAGAGAATTATAATACAACTTTTATTTGAACATTTTTTATAAAAATATTTTTTTTTACATTTTGTCAAATTTCTCGAATGCGGACCATTTTAGGAAAATTTTGTATAGAATAAAAATTATGGATAATTATATTAGAAGTAACTTTTATTTGAAGAATTTTCTTCTCCAAACGTAAATAACAGATATATTCCATAAAATATAAAAACGGCCTCCCATAAAGTACCCCCCCAGATGTTCCGACTTTGTCCAAAATCTAATCATTTCACGTCAGGCCGAAATAAACCTTAACTTTAAAATTTAATGTTCTTTTCTTCATCCGTTTTTGAGTTTTCTTCAAAATTCGAAATTTACACATTTTCTCAAATATCTCGAATACGGTCCATTTCAGAGAAATTATGTATAGAATAAAAATTATAGAGAATTATAATACAAACAACTTTTATTTGAACAATTTTTATGAAAAATTATTTTTTTTACATTTTGTCAAATTTCTCGAATACGGAGCATTTTAGGAAAATTTTGTATATAACAAAAATTATGGATAATTATATTAGAAGTAACTTTTATTTGAAGAATTTTCTTCTCCAAACGTAAATAACAGATATTCCATAAAATATAAAAATGACCACCTATAAAGTACCCCCCCCAGATGTTCCGACTCTGCCCAAAATCTAATCAGTTCATTAGACGCTAGAGTAAAGCTTAAGTTTAAAATTTGGTGTTTTTCTGTGTATCGGTTCATGAGTTATGCGACCTACAGACACACAGACACACACACACAGACATCATCGCAAAAATAGTCAAAACGGATTCAGGGGACCTCAAAACGTAAAAATCCGTCGAAAAAAATCATGATTCCTATACTTTCCTTATATCTGTATACAGATAGGAAAGTAAAAATTAACTCATTAATAAGAGACTTTTGATTGGCATCCACCTTAAAGTTTCAAGCATTAGATTAATGACTGTATATTTTGAACAGGATAATATTATTCGCATAACTCTATTCTGCAGCTTCTGTAGTCTGTTCAACTCATTTTGATTTAGTAAAAAGAGTATTGTAGAGCAATAATTAAAGTGAGGTAGAATTCTAGTATTATATATAATACATTTAGTCTACTGTGATAAGCCAAATAAACTTCTAAATAGGAAATTTAATTTAAATGCAATAGTTATGGCATGATCTATGAATCTCATCTCCAGAGGTTTCTGTGAATATTAAAATTATTTTCTCTTCGTGTCATTAAAGAATATTACGTATAAAATACAGAAATTAGTTGTAATGTCATAATTTAGTTTAATAACAAGTATAAAATTCCTTTGTAACATAGACATGAACTTCTATAGCCTGATAACATATTCTGTAACCCTTATACAACATTTATATAGAGGTAATGAAATTTTCTGTATATGTGGTAGATATTTATGTACGTAGTAATTAATGTTTTAATATTTTTATAAAACAATCTGTAGTTGAAACAAAATATCTGTAAAACTAAGAAAATATTTGCGTAACATTTTGTAATCTAAACATGCTCTTCTTTAAATATAACAAAAAATTCTATAAATATAATAGAACAGTTTGTTAAATTTCCAAAACTCGTGATACTATTAACGAAAACTTCTACAAATGAAACAAAATACTCTTGGTATATTTGTAAAATATTTCGTAAGCTTAAAAAAATATCTGTAGATTTTACAAGTTTTTTTGTATTGTAATAAGCAATTCTGATAATATTTAAAGGTACGGAACAACAGAAGTTCTAGAGTTTTAACTCTAGTTTTTAAAATTTGTGGTGAAGTAGGAACATTTTTTTAATTTTTAGGTTATCCTTAATTAACTGACTAAATACTTAGGGTATAATGTAAAATATTATGGTGTTACAGGTTATTAAAATTCGAGATTTCAGATCTATCAATCCGTTTTCGCAGGTTTCTTTATCCTTTTCTAGGGTTTCAATTGAAATTAACAATCTCTTTTTGATGTCCGTCAGTTTCTCTTTAGTTTTTTCCATTAAAAGCAAATGTTCCTGACTCAGTTCCAGTTCTGCTCTAATATCTATATTTTTTCTGTTAAAATTTTAATTTCATTCTTTATATTAGTTATTAGCATCTCCAAATTTTCATAAGATTTTTTTAAGTTGCCTATTTCTATATCTTTATTTCCTAACTGTTCATTTAGTTCTTTCAATAACTTTTCAGGATCATTCTCAATTCCGGCACAGCTATTATCTTTTTCAGCACACTCGATAGATCAAATCACCCTATACCCCTTCAAAATTTTAACATTTTTCATCCTCTCCAGACTACTCGGATGAAAATTATTTATACATCTGATACATATATAATTTCCAAATATTCTGTTCTGACAGCGCTTAAAAGATTTGTCCATTTTCTATATTTATGTATGTAAAACGACGTTGGAATGGAACAGTAGCCACTTTCATTTAGATTTAAAATTGTCCTTATCACAAAAAGTTTTTGTCACTGTTTAATCATAAAATAATAACAAAAAAAAGCGATAAAAAAAACTTGGTATAATTATAAAAATGCAGTTTCACTTAGTAACAAAAAATTTTACACTGGATATCACTGGCAATGGTCAGATAATAAATTGAGTTTTAATTTGATATGAAAAACAACTTAAAAGTCTGAAAACCAGGATTTTGTAGGAGCGAAATAAATTCAACCTATACATATAAAATTTCTCTAACGAAATATCTTCATACAATGATACAATTTATTATTGATTTATTTTTTTTAGTCTTAAATTAATCTTTTTTTTACAGTGTGGGAGTTTACAAAAATGGAAGAGTTGAAATTATTGCCAACGATCAAGGTAACCGTATTACTCCATCGTACGTAGCTTTTACGGCAGAGGGAGAACGTCTCATTGGTGATGCCGCTAAAAATCAGCTCACAACGAATCCCGAAAACACAGTCTTCGATGCCAAACGTCTTATCGGACGTGACTTTACAGACCACACAGTCCAACAAGACTTGAAACTCTTCCCCTTCAAGGTCATCGAGAAGAGCCAGAAACCCCATATCCAAGTGGAAACGAGTCAGGGCAACAAAGTATTTGCTCCTGAAGAGATTTCTGCTATGGTTTTGGGCAAAATGAAGGAGACTGCTGAAGCTTATTTAGGTGAGAATAAATATTTTGCTCTGGTATTAAAATATTCTACTTTTTACGTTTTATACCTTAATTTAAATTCCGTTTTTGAATTTATTATAATTAGATTTTTATTAGGAAAAGGGCATTCAGAAATAAAACTACAATTTAAATTTAAATACCAGCAAAGAGCTTTTTATTCATTATATCGCAACAGTGAATGTCTTATAACTGACTCATTAATATTATTTCTATATCTTTATCAGAAGAGATAGCATTCTTGAAACTCTTATTTTCTCCTTTTTGTTTTCTAATGGAAACATGAAATATATACAGGGTGTATCTAATAATAATTTTTTATAGGTAAAAAAGTAACTCACGCTGTGGTGACCGTTCCTGCTTACTTTAATGATGCTCAACGTCAAGCTACCAAAGATGCTGGTACCATTGCTGGTCTTAACGTTATGAGAATCATTAATGAACCTACAGCAGCCGCCATTGCATATGGTTTGGACAAAAAAGAAGGCGAAAAGAACGTTCTTGTATTCGATCTTGGAGGTAATTTATGTTGTTTTAATAATTTATACAATATTTAGTACTTGTTAATACTTTATTGTACAAGTAATTCTTTATTAGGTATTACACCTCCATGTGTTTTATATTAACCTTACTAAAAACAAAACAAATTGACATTCTATGTCATTATAATCAATGATTATTTCCAATTTTTCCAATTTCTCCAATTTTTCCAATTTTTTCCAATTTTTCAAATTTTTTCAATTTTTCCAATTTTTCGATTTTTCAATTTTTCGATTTTTCAATTTTTCCAATTTCAGAATTTTCGAATTTCAGATTTTTCAATTTTTTCAATTTATTCAATTTTTCCAATTTTTCCAATTTTTCCAATTTCTCCAATTTTTCAAATTTTTTCAATTTTTCAAATTTTTTCAATTTTTCCAATTTTTCGATTTTTCAATTTTTCCATTTTTTCCAATTTCAGAATTTTCGAATTTCAGATTTTTCAATTTTTTCAATTTATTCAATTTATTCAATTTTTCCAATTTTTCCAATTTTTCCAATTTCTCCAATTTTTCAAATTTTTTTAATTTTTCCAATTTTTCCAATTTTTTCAATTTTTTCAATTTTTCCATTTTTTCCAATTTCAGAATTTTCGAATTTCAATTTTTCCAATTTTTTCAATTTATTCAATTTTTTCAATTTTTTCAATTTTTCCAATTTTTCCAATTTTTCCGATTTTTCCAATTTCTCCAATTTTTCAAATTTCTCCAATTTTTTCAATTTTTCCAATTTTTCGATTTTTCAATTTTTTCATTTTTTCCAATTTCAGAATTTTCGAATTTCAATTTTTTCAATTTTTTCAATTTTTTAATTTTTCCAATTTTTCCAATTTTTCCAATTTTTCCAATTTGTCCAATTTCTCCAATTTCTCCAATTTCTCCAATTTTTCCAATTTTCCCATTTTTCCATTTTTTTTCCAATTTCAGAATTTTCGAATTTCAATTTTTCCAATTTTTCCAATTTTTTCAATTTATTCAATTTTTTCAATTTATTCAATTTATTCAATTTTTTCAATTTTTCCGATTTTTCCAATTTCTCAAATTTTTCAAATTTCTCCAATTTTTTCAATTTTTCCAATTTTTCGATTTTTCAATTTTTTCATTTTTTCCAATTTCAGAATTTTCGAATTTCAATTTTTTCAATTTTTTCAATTTTTCAAATTTTTCAAATTTTTCCAATTTCTCCAATTTTTCAAATTTTTCCATTTTTTCATTTTTCCATTTTTTTTTTCCAATTTCAGAATTTTCGAATTTCAATTTTTTCAATTTTTTCAATTTTTTCAATTTTTCCATTTTTTCCAATTTTTTCAATTTTTTCAATTTTTTCAATTTTTCCATTTTTTCCAATTTCAGATTTTTTAATTCTTCCAATTTTTCCAATTTCAGAATTTTCGAATTTCAGATTTTTCAATTTTTCTAATTTTACAATTTTTTCAATTTTTCCAATTTTTAGATTTTTTATTTTTTTCCAATTTCAGAATTTTCGAATTTCAGATTTTTCCAATTTTTTCAATTTTTCCACTTTTTACAATTTTTACCATTTTTTTCCAATTTCAGATTTTTCAATTTTTCCAATTTTTCTAGTTTTTCAATTTTTTTCCATTTTTCAATTTTTTTCCATTTTTCCAATCTTTCAAATTTTTCAAATTTTTCAATTTTTCCAATTTTTACATTTTTCCAATTTTTACATTTTCTCCTATTTTTTTAATTTTTTCAATTTTTCTAATTTTACAATTTTTTCAATTTTTCCAATTTTTCCAATTTTTCGATTTTTCCATTTTTTCCAATTTCAAAATTTTCGAATTTCAGATTTTTTAATTTTTCCAATTTTTTCCAATTTTTTTCCTATTTTTTCCAATTTTTCAAATTTCTCCAATTTTTCCAATTTCAGATTTTTCAATTTTTACAATTTTTTACAATTTTTTCTAATTTTACAATTTTTCTAATTTTTCGATTTTTCAATTTTTCCATTTTTCCATTTTTTTCCAATTTCAGAATTTTCGAATTTCAGATTTTTCCAATTTTTTTAATTTTTTCAATTTTTCCAATTTTTTCAATTATTCCAATTTTTCCAATTTTCAATTTTCCAATTTTTCAATTTTCCTATTTTCCAATTTTTTAAATTTCTGATTTTTCGTTTTTACAATTTTTACAATTTTTTACAATTTTTACAATTTTTTCTAATTTTACAATTTTTCAATTTTTACAATTTTTCTAATTTTTCGATTTTTCAATTTTTCCATTTTTTTACAATTTCAGAATTTTCGAATTTCAGATTTTTCCAATTTTTTTAATTTTTTCAATTTTTCCAATTTTTTCAATTATTCCAATTTTTTCTATTTTTCAATTTTCCAATTTTTCAATTTTTCAATTTTCCGATTTTCCAATTTTTCAAATTTCTGATTTTTCGCTTCTTCGATTTTTCGATCTAGAAAATATCGTTATGAAAAGTATCGCCCATCTTTAGGTATCTACCGGAATTACAAAAGCGTGAATTATCATAATTCACTCTAGTGATATATGGGTACTATATGCTTTTAGTTAGGACGTAGCATATTGATTTATTATTAAGTGGTCGTGGACAAAATATTTAACTTTTAAATTCCAAATTCTTGACGACTGTTTTAAGCCATATATTGCCTTTTTTAAGTAAGCATACCTTATCCTAAACTAAACTTTACGCCACAGATTCCATTTTTTTTTTCACGTGGCTCGCCTTTTTAAACCTTTAATATTCTTTAATAACTTTAGTAGTATCTTTTATAACTTGGCTACCTGGGCACATAACCTGTTGTTTTAATAAATATTTAGTACTTGTTAATACTTTATCGTACAAATAATTCTTTATTAGGTATTACACCTTACACCATGTGTTTTATATTAACCTGTCATTATAATCAATGATGTATGGATCACTGGATTACCTATTTAACAACAATTTAATCTTAATCATTTTATGAAAGTCTTGTTTTATAGTCATATTATAATGGATCATTTAATATTTATTTACATTTTATTAATATTTCAGGTGGTACTTTCGATGTATCTCTTCTTACCATCGATAATGGCGTCTTTGAAGTAGTCGCTACCAACGGAGACACGCATCTTGGTGGAGAAGATTTCGATCAAAGAGTCATGGATCATTTCATCAAATTGTACAAGAAAAAGAAGGGTAAGGACATCAGAAAGGACAACAGAGCTGTACAGAAATTGAGAAGAGAAGTGGAAAAAGCGAAGAGGGCTCTTTCTTCCAGTCACCAAGTCAGGATTGAAATTGAATCGTTCTTCGAAGGAGACGATTTCTCAGAAACTCTCACCAGAGCTAAATTCGAAGAATTGAACATGGTAAATCAAATAAAATATATTCTAATTTTAAGAAAAATTATTAAATTAAAATGATGACTTTTTTCATCTTTCGGGTCTGATATTTAAACCTGATTGACACTTTACCGGCGAACTGATTAAATATATATTTATTTCTAATTATTTGTTGTTATGTTTTGAGGAATACATTTTATTTTTTTTATTTTTTGTAGGATCTATTCCGTTCCACCATGAAACCCGTCCAGAAGGTCCTCGAAGATGCTGATATGAACAAAAAAGATGTCGATGAAATTGTTTTGGTAGGAGGGTCTACTCGTATTCCCAAAGTCCAGCAACTTGTTAAAGAATATTTTGGCGGTAAAGAACCATCGAGAGGAATCAATCCCGACGAAGCTGTCGCCTATGGTGCTGCCGTTCAAGCCGGTGTATTATCCGGAGAAGAAGCCACTGATGCCATTGTCTTATTGGATGTCAATCCTTTGACTATGGGTAAGTTTTCAATTGTACTTTACCAAGGATACTTAAATTGTTTATTTAATTTATAATTTATTACATGGAATTGGAATTTGTGAGGATGTAGAAATTGTTCTATAACGTTTTAACATTCTATGAAAAATTTTGGTCATTTTGATACTTTTTAATATAAAATTCTGACATCCACAATACTATTTCATGCTTTGCGAATTGTACAGAAACAAACCTATTAAAAAAAAGAACTTTAATATGTAAAAAGTAAAAACTATAAAGTGTAGGTGACTGCGATATACCCGTTAAGTAGTGCATACTTTGTAAGGGGTTTTCTCGCCTCAGAGAAATGGCGCCTGGTTACGGACGGTTCTCGAGCGCCAGATTTTTGGTGATGGTTTACTCCACAAACTCTCGAAACGGCGTCGAAAGTACTCGGGCAGCACAGATGGAGATGAAAAATTCTAGGGGTCAAAGGTTATTTAGACTCAGGTAATTAGTAGCCACAAGTTATGGGCTTTAATCATTACTTGTGGTTGCAAAGAATTTCTCACTGCTGAAAATAAGGGGGAAGTAAATCGGGGATTAGTAATATTCAAGATAATATTGAGACATATATTGATCTATTTACATTAAATAAAAAAAAATTATATTTCAACGCCCACCCTCGGTTATGAAACCCTGAACAAAAAAAAATGAAACAATGGCAAAACGGTAACGAACGGCTGATATAGTTGGCAGGTATTCTCAATCAGACTGCGTAAACGGGATACGGTGAAGGGGTCGCGTATAAAAAAAATGTATTCGGAAATTTCAGACTAAGGTCAAAATTTAAATCTCGGATAGTAAGAATTCTAAATTTACGGCAATTACTCTCAAATCGCAAAAAAAATCTAATTAAATCATGAATAATACGGATTCAACAATTTAAATTTACGGTAATTGTTTAAATCGCAAAGCAAATCAAAATTTTGATCAAGGATAATATTAATTTTAAAAATTCCAAAATTTACGATAATAAATCAAAATTTAAATCAAGCCTAGTATGAATTTTAAAAAAATTTAAACTGCGGCACTTCTGAAACTCGTGAGGACCACTCGAAATCTTTCTAAATGTTTGTTTCGTTTTTTTTAAACCCCTGAAGCCAATGAGCCAAGCTACGCTGAATCAAACCCACACTACCTCTTATTGTTATTTATTATTATAACCCCATGTCGAACAAGGATATCTAGGAAGAAAAATAACACGGAACTTTAAGCCCTCAGTGAGTTATTTGGGAATAGACAGGAAGGAAAATTAACACGGAACTTTAAGCCCTCACTGAATTAATTACGGAAAGCTAGGAACGAAAATAACACACGGAACTTTAAGCCCTCAGTGAGTTATTTGGAAGTAGCCAGAACGGAAAAATAAAGGAACGGAAATTTTATATTCAAAACAGGAAATGATACCCTCCCCTTCAGTAAAAAAAAAATTGCGAACAGTCAAACTAAACCAATAAAAAAATGAACAATATTCAATTCCCTTATTTCCCACGGTTAGGAATTTAACAAATCTATTCTTTTAAAAGTCTATCTAAATTTAAAAAAAAAAAGAAAAACACTAATTCCTATCTTTTCCCAATTTACTTATTTAATAATTCTCTTTACAAAGTCAATTTATATCGGAAACAGTCCTCACCGTTCGAAGACGATAATAAAAAAATAAACACGGCCAATATCCAAACAAGAAAATATTTTTCGACAGTTAATTTAATTATTAAATTTCGGAATTTTTACAAAATTATTTACGTGTTAAAATGTAATCTCAAACGGTGTTTAAATCTAGTCAATTTAATTCGGTTTTATTTCCTATCTAAACTCGATGCTACGACAAAAAATAAAAACGGGTTTTTTGTACTAACTGCGACAAAGACGGTTTTGGCTCGCCGCGTTGGTATTAAATTTGTCGACTGGTTCTTTCAATCGCTCGGAATGGAATTAAAAATTTCTCTCGCGATGTTCTAGTTCTCGGGTCGAAAAATATTTACCAATGTCCCATGCATGATCAACTTAAGTGGGAGAAGGTACTCGAGAAGGGGGACGGTGCTGGCTGCCGTTCATTTTCGTTCAAAAATATTAAAAATCTGATGTGTCCAACACATGACTTTCCTATCTAGTTATTACAGGCTTTTTCCTATTATTTTGTACAAACTATTGCAGCATCTCTATAAATGTTTAGAGGATAAACTAAATATATACATTTGCCACATACATCTAACTCGACACATTTTTCTATAATATATATTCCATAAAATATAAAAACGGCTTCCCATAAAGTACCCTCCCCCCTAGATGTTCCGCCTTCGTCCAAAATCTAATCATTTCACCTCGGGCCGAAATAAAACTTAAATTTAAAATTTAATGTTTTTTTCCTTTATCCGTTTTTGAGTTTTCTTCAAAATTAGAAATTTACACATTTTCTCAAATATCTCGAATACGGTCCATTTTAGAGAAATTATGTATAGAATAAAAATTTCTTTATTATGATCAGGATCTCTCTTTTAGTGATATTGTGCTGGAATTTAACTAAGATAGGACCGTCCCCCTTTTTGTTTAGTCTAAAGCAGTCAGTTAGTTCGGTGTTGCTAACTTGGACTTGCATAGGCGAAAATATTTTATTGATAATATGTCTCGGGTCTGTATCATCTTGTTTAGGGACACATAATATCCAGTTCATCAATTTTCGATTCAAGGATTGAAAGCCTATTATTTTTTTTTACTATTTTCAGTTCATTCATGGCACTTTTAAATTGATCTTTTAGTTTATCGAATGAGTTGGTTATAAATTGAACCGATTTCTCCAGGTCTTCAATATTTTTGTTCATTGATATTTCGATGGGATCTAAAAACTGGTGGAACGAATCCCGAATAATATTCTTCAGCTTTTTTTCATCCATACTATAATCGTCGTTTTCGTTTTCACTAAGTTTTTTTTTTACTTAACCTCAACTATATGTTTTAATAACATTTTCTCTTAAACTAGTCGCAGCAGCAAAAGTTCAATCATTTGTAAAATAGCTTTCCATTAATAATAAAATTTTCTCTTTTGTTGACTGACTACCAATTTCACTGAACACCTCAGATTTATATGGTCGATCTGTTTTATGAGGGATTTTGGGAGGTAAGGATTCCACAAAAGAAATTAGCTATTTATTATGTCACACAAGAAACTTTTGTATCTATTGATCGACTTCAATGTTTTCATTTGTCAGCCGATTTACTATTAAAAATTTTCACAATGTGATAACCAGTGCTTTTCTCATGTTAACTCATTTGAAATGTTTGCATAACATAATCTAAAGCTACAGCGATTTTATTTTTTACATTACCTT